ATAGCTGCTTATAATGCTGGAGTCAAAGGAGCCGCGCGCGCATGAGACCGCGGCGGATGGTTCGAGCCGCAATTGCGCTGCTGAGGCATGTCATGCGAGCACGCTCGTCTGTGGCCAAGCCTCCCCATGCAGCAGCAGCTGTTGCTTAATTTGTGCGTCGCATGCTGTCGTCAGGTGTCCATGCGGTGAGGGCTGCTGGTGAGCTAGTCTGCAGTAGACGAGCCAACGAATCAACGAGCCAACGAGCCAGCCAGCCAGCAAGGAGGCATTTCAACACTTGATCGTATTCGTGACTCACGACTTGGGACGCGCGTTCATGCTGCTGTGAAGTGAAGTGAGTGTGAGTCTGATGTTGCCGTGGCGCATAAACAAGCACACACAGGGCCAACGCCATGGCTGAGACGAAGCCGGCGTTCGGCCTGAAAGGCAAGCGAGATCAGTCGCAGAAGCGCCGCACACCTGACCCGGCACGCTCTAGAGCGACATGCTGGTGGACCCCTTGCCCACGAACGGCAGCAGACAGGCAACCAGCCAGCAAGGCAAGCACCCTAAGCAGAGCAGAGCAGCTGGCAGACAAGTAAGGGTCGACGCAGGCGAGCAGAAGATTCAAAGGCTGCCCTTTCACGCTCTCAATTCTCTGCCTTCTCGCACACATCATCCCCATCATCACCTTGGCTATATACCTGCCCCGCTTGACGTATTCATTGCCCACGCATCACCTCTTCTCATCTACACCACTTGATCCCAGCTCGCACTTTCCAGACCCTCTTCATACAACCCCATCATGTCTCGCGTCATTGTTGTCGGTGGCGGTCTATCCGGCCTGAGCGGTGAGTCCTACATCCGACGACCACTTTGAGCCCCGTCCGCGAAACCATCTCGTTGATGCTGATGCGCCTTCTCCATTTGCAGCCGCACACACTGCGCTTGAGCGTGGTGCCAGCGTTCTCGTTCTTGACAAGGTGAGCGGGAAAGATTGCTTCTTCAGCTTTGGATAAGACTCCCGCTTCGGGTGGCCTTGCTGTGCCCATTCTCTCGCTTTCGACTCGACTGAGCACGTCACGAGATGCGGCAGCTACCGCTTGCGCCACGCTGCGCACCAATGAGCCTGCATTCACGCCTTGCCTCTTGCTCCTTCCTCAGAACCCCTTCTTTGGCGGCAACTCAACCAAGGCCACTTCAGGTATCAATGGTGCAGGGACCAACACCCAATCAGAGCTCAGCATTCCAGACAGCGCCAAGATTTTCTTCGAGGTGAGTTTGCGAGTTTGCAGGCTGCGACTGCGCTTACATTCGAGACACTGCTGACGCTTACATGATGCACTGCTGTTGTTCGCAATTTGCAGGACACCAAAAAGTCTGCTCGTGACCTGGCGCGACCTGATCTGATCAAAGTCCTCACTGGCCGGTCCGGCGAGGCCGTCAACTGGCTGCAAGACCGCTTCGGTCTGGATCTGTCCAAGGTCTCCAGATTGGGTGGTCACTCGCAGCCTCGTACCCACCGTGGTGGCGCCCAATTCCCCGGCATGACGATCACCTATGCCCAGATGGAGAAGCTGGAGGATCTTGCCGAGTCCGACCCTGAGCGCGTGCAGATCATCAAGAAGGCGCGCGTTACCAGCCTTATCTACGAGAATGGCGAGGTCAAGGGTGTGGAGTATGAGACTGCTGGACAGAAGCACCAGGAACGCGGTGCCGTCGTCCTCGCCACTGGCGGTTACGCAGCAGACTTTGACGATGTCAACTCTCTGCTCAAGAAGCACCGTCCAGACCTCGTTCACCTTCCCACCACCAACGGAGACCACTGCACCGGTGATGGTCAAAAGATGGTCGCCTCTATCGGTGGTCGCCTGATCGATCTCGAAAAGGTGCAAGTTCACCCCACTGGTCTCGTTGACCCACGTGACCCAGACGCCAAGGTCAAGTTCCTTGCTGCCGAGGCTCTCCGTGGCTGCGGTGGTCTGCTCCTCGACAACGAGGGACAGCGATTTGCTGACGAGCTTGGTCACCGTGACTACGTCACTGGCCGCATGTGGGAGAACAACAAGTTCCCAGTACGCCTAGTCCTGAACGGAGCCGCGTCCAAGGAGATCGAGTGGCACTGCAAGCACTACGAGGGCCGTGGCTTGATGCGCCGCTTCGAGGGCGGTGATGCGCTCGCCAAGGAGATTGGCATTCCTGCTGACAAACTCAAGGCTACCTTTGAGGACTACAACGCCATTGCCACCGGTAAGAAGAAGTGCCCCTTCAACAAGAAATTCTTCCACAACGCAGACATGCGCATGAACGACACTTTCTACGTTGCCCTCATGACTCCTGTGCTCCACTACACCATGGGAGGTCTGGAGATCGATCCCACTTCTCGCGTGATTGACAGCCAAGGCAAGCCCATTCCCGGTCTCTTCGCTTCCGGGGAGATTGCTGGTGGTGTTCACGGAGCCAACCGTCTGGGAGGCTCTTCCCTCTTGGGCTGCGTCGTCTTTGGTCGTGTCGCTGGTGACTCTGCCACCGCTTTCTTGCTGAACCAGTACACCTCCGGCAAGGCTGCTTCCCGTGTCGGCCAGGTTGCCCAGCACCTGGAGACCACTGTTCGCGTCAACCCGGAGAACTACAACGTCAACTTGACCTTCTCTTGGGCTGGCCAACAGCAGGCTGGTGCGGGCGCATCCGGCGCTCTTCAACAGTCGAGCGCCCCGGTTCAACAAGCTGCGCAAGCCCAGACTGAAGGCAACGCCAGTGCGGGCCCTGCAACTCAAAAGGCGCCTCCTCAAAAGGCGGAGGAGAACAAGGGATCCAAGACGTACACTATGGACGAGGTCGCCAAGCACTCCAAAGAGAGCGATGTGTGGGTCGTCGTGGGCGATCAGGTCCTGGACGTGACCAACTTTTTGCCGGACCACCCTGGAGGACCCAAGGCGATCTTGCTTTACGCTGGAAAGGATGCGACAGAAGAATTCGACATGATGCACGACCGCGCCGTCATCAAGCGTTACGCTGCTGACGCCGTCATCGGATCCATCGCCAAGTGATTTTGCTCTGGTGCTGCATCTCTTCGAATGAACCAGTCCTTGGAGAAGCAACGGATCTCTCAATCAAAGATCTTCTCTGCTTGTTTATGTACGCAATCAAGGCATCGTCTCCGTCAGTCAGGTCGCCCCAGTTCGCTTCCCCTTTGATCTCCTTGCGTTGGTCCCTTCACTCTACGGATGTCATTTTTCAACGTGGCACTTATGAGTGGTGCAAATGTTGATGAATTTTACGAGCATGTCTGACTTGATGTGATGTGGACGTTTTGTAACGGGTGAATCAGGGCTTCATACCTGTCTAGAGCAGGCCGAACGATTCGATGATCTGCTAGAGAGCTGACTCGCGTCCTACTCACGACTCGCTCCACGGCATTTGGAAGAAAGGAGGAGGAGCAAGTTGGGTGGCGCTCGCTGCTTGCCTGCCTGCCTGCCTGCCTTCACCCTCGCGTGCGCGCCTCTGCGCTCCATCCCGCGACGCTCGCGATGCATGTAGCCCAAGCCCGGCCAGCATGGGTCTATGTCTATACGCGTCACCTACCCGATTCGCGCCGCGCCGCGCAGGCAGCCAGCCGCATGCGCTTGTGCGGAGATCGCGATCGAGCGAGCAAAATCGAGCAGAAGCAGCAGGCGTGTGCGTGTGCGTGCTTCGTGATGCGCTCGCTCATCAATCAGTCACACAGTCGTGAGTGCCTTGGATGATTGTGAGTCGGATCTTGATGCTTCCTCTCCTCTTGAATGCGTCTCACTACCACCGCTTAGCACCACTACCACCACCACCACCACGTCTGGGCGAAGTGCATTCGCTCGCGTGGCTCGATTTTGCTTGCGCTTAGAGGATAAAGAGCCCAGCGACGAACGAGCGTGATGGAAAGAGCCTCTCGGATAGCGCTGGCATCAACAACATCTTCCCACCTTCTCCCCACACTACGGACTGTACAAAGTCATTGCCAACAGAATGTCGGGCGAACGACCTTTGGGAGGGTCTTCTGCCGTGTCGGGTCTATCTGATGCTCTGGCACAAGGAGCAGCCTACCTCTCTCCCTTTGCCCAATCAGCCCAAGCTGGGGCTTCCACATCCGCAGCGGGTCTGAACGAAGCGACAAGGCACCTGATAGATGCCGCACCGCACCTCTTCAAACCTCGCATGTTATCAGCTGCCATTCATTCTTCTGGTCTGGGCGTTGCCGGCACTTCGGGCGATAGGGCGAGGATTGTGGGCTGGGGCGGACTGCCTTTGGCACTCAGTAGACCCATCAGTCTTTCACAACCGGCCCGAAGCCTGGCCAGATTTGGAGCAGCTGTGGCTTCGGGAGGAGGTCTTTCGGCAGCGGAATTGAGAGCGAGAGAAGATTGCGCAGCCATACTTAGGGAAGCGGAGGCTGAGGCTGAGCTGGGCGTTAGAGCTCAGGGATTGAGCATCGAAGATGGCTCTAATGTAGCAGCAGCAGCAGCAGCAGCAGCGACAACGACGACGGCGATGAATGGCGAAGAGCCTGTCAGTCTGCTTCGAGGATACGAAGCTACTCGACCTTCTTCCTTGGCAGGCAGAGCTAGGAGGAGGGAAGCAAGGGGAAAAGCAGTCGATGCTCCCAGATTGGGTCTGCGAGCGATGGGCGAAAATGCTAGAGGACTCTTGTCTGCTTCGGAAGCGCACGAAGATGGCGAAAATGGCGCGACGCATGGCGTCGAGGAGGCAGCTTCTTCGTTCAAGAGCAGAGCTAAAGGTAGAGCTAGCATTAGAGGATCGAGAGATGCGGTCATCAAGCTGGACGAATCTCAGCTTGCTGCTCAGAAGGAGGAGATCGAAAGGGAGAAGGAGGATGTTGGCGTTAGAAGGGTCAGTAAGCTGCGGTCTGAATCACCTTCGAGAACGCGCGCAGGCGTTTAGCCCCGTGAACTTATGCTCGATACTCTCTCGTCACCTCGAATGTCTCCATGCAGGCCCTAATCCGAAAGGAAATCTCGGCAGTGGAAATCAAAATGGCTGCGCTTGTTGCTGTCAGGGACAGACTGGAGCACAGCCTGCTGCAGCTTCGAGAGGAGGAGCTGGAGCTGCAAGACGAAGGTGAGTGTAGGGGCAAGGACACGGGAAAGCGGCAAGCAGACCAGCTCTGAGCATCGCGGGACTTTCGGCTGACCTTGTCATGCTCAAATCCGTACTGCTGCCATCCATCAGCGCAAGGCGTGTCGGAGTTGCTCAGCTTGCAAGCGCACAGGAGGAATATGCCCGGTGTTGCCGGAGCGTCTGTTGCTTCGCTCTCGACGAATCAAACTGGACAGTCTGAGCACGCCACATCGGCTTCGAGCAGCCGAAGAAGGAAAGGTGAGTGGGACGCCAGAGGCCGCTCGAGGAGCGCGGCACATGCTGAGCTCGACTGCGCTGCTTGTGCTTCACCAGGTCCCTTGTTCTTGCCCTCCGAGCACGACGAGCTGCCTTCGGGTGTTGCCTTCATGGTGAGTGGAGCACAGCCAAGTCGTTTTGATGGCAAGCAGGTCGACCAATTGAGCATGGACGTGCCTGTTATTACTTCGCAGACACTTGCGGGACACACTGCGCCTTTGACCGCTCTGGACTTTTCCGAACCTTACGGCGCGCTGGTCAGTGCCGCTTCTGACGACGGTGCGCCGATCGTCTGGGACCTATCTTCGGGCGGCGAGGTGGGACGTTTGAGGGGCCATGAGGGCAACACGCGATGCCTGCAAGTTGAGGAAGAGCTCTGCATAACGGGAGGTTCGGATTGCAGCATACGGATCTGGGATCTCCGAAAAGTGGAGAATTGGGAGACGAGACTGTCGATGAATCAGCAGGCTCGGGATGGAGAGAGTGCAGCTACCATCGTTAGGAATGGAGATGAGGCAGAAGGAAACAACAAGGACGAGGAGTGGGATCCTTGCCTCAGCAAGTTGGATGGTCATACACGCGCAGTCACTAGCCTCTACTTTGACGAAGGCTGCCTGGTGAGTTGCTACGACCCAACATGACGCCTTGGCGCGAGTACTCATGTCGCTTTGGCATCTCTCAGATCACGGGGGCGTCAGACAAGACGCTACGCCAATGGGATCTCAACACTGGGCAGTGCGTTCTCACCATGGACATTCTCTGGGCCATTTCCAACCCTGGTGGACCATCTACACCAGGAGGCAGTGGGGCCGCATCTCGACGATCCATGGCTTTCGACAATTCCAGCGCGGGTGGAATCGGTGGACCATCGGTCGATTTCTCTGGCGCTTTCTCCTACCCCTCTCCACCCGCATCCGACGGCTCGTGGGAGATGTACAGCGATTTTGTTGGGGGCGTACAATTCTGGGGATATGCCCTGGCTAGCGCTTCTGGAGATGGAGCGGTGAGGATGTGGGATATGCGAACGGGTCAAGCGCACAGGACCTTGTTGGGTCACACTGCGCCCGTGACGTGCCTACAATTCGACGAGACGCACATCGTCTCTGGCAGTCTGGACCGCTCCATTCGCATTTGGGACTTGAGAACGGGCGCCATCTCCGATACGATTCGCTACGACTTTCCAGTGACTGCGTTGCAGTTTGACAGTCGCAAAATTTTGGCAGCGGCAGGAGAGAGTGGCGTAAAGGTTTACAACAGGACCACCATGCAGCACTCTACGCTCGCGCTCAATGGACATACCGCACCGGCGGAGAGACTGAGGTATATGGATCGGTATGCCGTTACGGGAGGAAGGGATGGTCTGGTCAAGACGTGGTCCTTGTAGAGGTGCGCGTCTGCGCATCTTCGTCCAATGAGCGGCTTGCTGCTTCCTCCATCACATCACCCCTTGCCCACTTTTTGTTCGCAATGCAATGCAAACCACAAACTGTTCCCTTTGTTCCCCCTTGTCACTTGTCTAAGCAGACAGGACGTCTAATTCCGTTTGATCGAGGGAGCCAGTCCGCTGCTTCGCCACTGTCCGAAGGGAGGGGGGCAAAGCAGAAGTGCGAAAAGATCGTCTGCATCGTGCGAGCCTGGCCTAATTCCCTCACTCGACCCTTGCCCGCCATCGTACCGCTTTCCAGGCGCGCTCATGCGAAATGGGGGGAGGGGCGGGGACTCGCCAGCTTGGCCATCGGTCCAGACTTTACGTACACAAAGAGGGCGACAATCATATTCTATATGACGGGAACCAATAAAAAGACGAGCGCGCGCGCAAGCGGGGCGGTGGGTTTGGTGTAGGCTCAAACTGGGGGGGGAACAAATTACGATGAAACGTTTTGTGCAAATTTTGCGAGTGAAAATGCATAAACTCGAAAGGCAATTTTGGTCGATGGGCGATGCATTCCCAAGGTGGGCCTATGGACACGATATGGTCAAAAAAGTGGGCGAAAAAAGTGAGAAGCGGCTGGAGGGGAGGGGGGGTTAAATGGACATGTCATCCTGACTCAATCCTCTCCTCTTCCACATGTTTGGCGTTCCCAGGTCCTCGGTGCATTCGTGAGGCTCTACCAAGCCATTCGTGCCCGCTCTCTGAAAGATGGCGCAATTTCTGCCCAAAGATACCTTGATGTTGAAATCTGGTGGATTGTACCTCTCCAATTCCAATTCTGGCTCCAGCTGCAGTGTCGGATCTTGATCTCGAGCATCGTGCAGGGAGGAGGAGGAGGGAAAATGCTCAATCATCTTGCAAATGTTTCGAGAGGCTACTTCGGCTTGATACCAGGCCGTATGACCAGCATTGAGGGCGCCAAACGCATCCGCAGCATCTCCAATGACAAAGACGTGTTGCAGTCCCTCGACAGCTTGAGGTTCATCCTCCATCTGCTGATCTTGCTGCCGATGACCAAGCTGCATGTGCCTGTTCACATTGGCCATGCTCGTCTTTTCCGAAAGCACCGCGGGCAGACCCATTCGACTGGCCAGATCCGCAAGGAAAGAAGTGTTGGGTCTTTGACCGGTGCAAAAGAGGACCAGATCAGCAGCGGCCTCTCTTCCATCCAGAGTCTTGATCACTCGTGTCCCATCCTCTTTCACCGTCAAGCTTTCCAAATCAGCTCTGGCGCCCAACAAGACTTCGACGCCCATCTCTTCCAAACGTCTGCACGCCTCTTCGTGCATCCAACTGTTGAAACGAGGCAAGAGCTGCTTGGAGGAGGAGAGCAGAGTGACGCGCTTCGGTGTCGAGCTGCGAGGTTGAGAAGGCGTGCCGTACAGGCATGCAATGTCGGAGGCGAACTGAACACCCAGAGCTCCGCCGCCAATGACCAGCACGCTATCCGTAGACTTGATCCTTTCCTGCGCATCCCTCAACCACGCCACACCTTCCCGTTTGCTTCCTCTGCACGGCGCCCGCGAGGATTCTCCAGAGTGGTCGCCCAGGACGGCGGAAGGCTTGGAAGGAGCGCAACCCGTTGGTGAGGCGCCTCGGGAATCGGGCGGCGAAGGTGGTCGGTAGGGCGATGCGCTGCCGTTGATCGACGGCGAAGCGATGTCTTCCTTGTCCTCCAATTTGAGACCTTCGTCCAACTGCGTCACCACATCCGCCACGCTGGCATTTCCTTGAGCAGTCGTCTCGTCTGCCTCGGGAGGAGAGGCGGTAGGCGTGGGAGGCAAAGAGGCCTGAGCTTTGCGCGTCTTGATGGGCAAAGAGAGCGGTTTACCGTCTGCTGGAGGTTGTTCCCTGCAACATCTTCCTGGTTGCATGAGCTGCGTACCGCTCTGAGATGAAGGCATGGGTCCAGGACCTGACCATACGTTGATGCAGGGTGGCAAGTGAGAACCGAGAGCGTAGACCAGATAATCGAATCGCACATCCATCATCTCGGCATTGGCGTTGGGTGCTCGACAGCACGTAGCTCCACCGTTCAAGGGCAGATACTTGGCTATGCCTCGACCGTAGCGTGGACGTGTAGACTTGGCGGACGGCTCGCTTGGGGAGAGCGAAATGAGGCAACCATGAAGCAAGACATGCGCGCCTCCTTCACGCTTCTTGCCACCGGGTGCAAAGATGTTGGTGTAAGGGATGAAGACCTTGGATGCGCGAGGTGCGAGGTGCGAGGTGCGAGCATGTCACGCGTCAGTTCAAACGGCCCCCCCCCAACTCTTGCCATCGACCGAGAACGCTGCGATGTGCTGACTCACCTTCTCCTCGTGACCCTTGACCACAGCGACGCGGGGAAAGGCGTACAGATGGTTGAAGTGCGTATTGCGATCCAACACGACCACTCTCCAATCCTCAGGCAGCGCATCCAAGAGGACTTGCACCGCTCGGTGACCAGCATAAGAAGCGCCGAGCACCAAAACAGTCTTGGTCGGCCTATATGGCTGTTCGGTGTGCTTCGCTGTTGATGCTTGGCTAGCTGATGAACCGCTCGCGGGGGAGAGCGGTGGCGCCATGGCTTGCTAATCGGGGGCGGTGTGTGGGTGATGTGATATGAAGGCGCGTGTGAGCTGTCAAGAACAAGTGTGTGGTGATTGGATGCTGAGAGCAGCAGCCAAGGGCGCGTTGAAGTCGAGGCCAGAGGGTCGCCAGTGGCGGAGGCTTGTTGCTTTGATGGATGAGAGGCTTGCTTGCTGGTTGGGAAGGTGCTGAAGCTAGAGAGAGAGACTGGAGACTGTATTGCCTGTAAAAGGCGAGTTGAATGCGTGTGTGTCGAATGCCGTCGTGGCGTACTGGTACTGTACAGTCACAGTGTACATGTAAGCTGCGCTGATCAAATTCCGGAAGCTTAATTTCGGTGCTAACCCCAGGCAAATGAAGCAGCAAAGCAAAGCAAAGCAAAGCAAAGCAAAGCAAAGGCCACGCGCAGATCTTCAACTTTACGCGTCTTTGATATTTCAAAGTTTTGAAACTGATTTGATTCTGATTGCATCAGCGATCTTGTGCTGTGGAGATCAGCAGCAGCAGCAGCAGCATCACGCGTGAAACTTTGATGGTCCATGCAAGCTGCAGGCATCTGCGCCCAGCACTCACGCGCGACTCACACCTACCAATTGTGACCCTTCACTCGTGACTGCGACTCATGACTGCTGATGTGGCGACTCTGACTGCATGGTGCAGCGACGATATGATCTGGAGATCGGCGCGCAGATACGGTAAATGTGCCCGCGCGCGCTTTGCTTCATCGAAGCTCAACAGAGCGCGAGGATCTTTTGCATGACGTCTTGACTGCTCTGATGATCTACTCACTCGTGCCTCCCTCCGCCAATCACCAACGCACCCTTGACGACGCACCGAACCGTCTAGCCAAAATGACCATCCCGATCAGGCCTGCTTGCCAAGCCATGCAACAAAGACGAGGACAAAGATTCAAAGTACCGAAGCAAGTCGCATTGAAACTCCTGACGCGAATTTTGAATTTGAATTTCCAAGGCATTCCACTCCCTGCTTGCTGGCGCCCGCCGCCTTTCGACGAGGGTGGGTAGGGCGAGCGGAGGGTGTGCATGGATGGCTGCATGCTGGCTGGCTGATCGGATCTAATTCAATAATTGAGCGGAAAGCAGCGCCGGCGCGACAACAAAAGTCAGGCACGCGATCAGAGAGAGATCGCAATCTGATCTGATCTGATTAGTGGCCATGCGGCATACTGTACACGTTGCAGTCACGAGTAGAAGTATACACCGAGGTACTGTACGCACGCACACACCAAAGATGCCGGGCGCGCGAGCTAGCCACATCTTGGACGAGAGTTCGAGAAGATTTTGATTTCAAGGGCTGCCGATCACACGATGATCACGTGTCATATCACGTGAGCTTTTCACAGCAACGCCCACAGCGGTGATCACAAAAGCCAACCTTGACCGCATCATGCACGCGCCAGACTCGAGACTCCACCTCGACGACAAGACACAAGCAACGCTTGATCTTCGATCAATATAGACAGCCATCTGCCCTCGCATACACGACGACAAAAGCTCAAGCACTGCACTACCGGTGAATTTTGATTTCTGGAAAGCATCTCTACAAGCCAGGCCTCGAGGAGGTGCAACTTGGCTGTCGATACTACGTTCTTGAGGCACCACGCAGGCACGCTTGCCTAGCTCATCCTTTACCCTCGTCTCAATCGTCAATCCCGACCTCCGTCTTTGGTAAATCAAGACGAGATGGATGTGAGTCGCACCTGTGCAGACACGTTTGTCTATTGCTGATGCTCGTTTGTGCATTCCTCGATGATGCTTCTCAAAGCCGGCAGATCTTGCGCCACAGTCTCCTCCAAGGGAGAGGGACAGTGAGTGGACAGACCGTTCTGCGTCGAACGCCTGCGTGCATGACAACGAGCTCATCGGACTGTCGCCCTGGTATCACACCCGTCACTTGATCAAATCAGGCCCTGGTGTTGCGCCCAGTATGTTTGGAGCGACGGAAGGAGCCGAAGAGCCTCTTCGGCTGGATGAGACGGCGGGCGTCGAGGAAGCTGCTCCGTCTGCAGAAGACAGATTACAAGCTGCTGGCATCGTCGGATCGGCCAAAGCTGCCGGCACTGGAGAAGGTGGAAATGTGGTGGATGATAGTGAGGCGAGAGAGGATGGAGAGTATGCTAGGGTGCTGGAAGGTGGGGATGAGGAGTACGAGTCGCACAGAGCAGGCGATTCTGGGCCAGGAGGAGTCTTGTCCAAGTGAGGAGCCCCGGTCTAGAAGGAGCCGACTGGTGTAGCAACAGCTCACAGCACCTGTATCCTACCGCGACATTTCGTGTGCGCTATCAGAAGACGTCAGCGATCTGAGAGCGAGGAGTTAGATGAAGCGGAAGCGGAGGATAGCAACGCTGTGGATGCAAACGATCTGGGCTACTCTGCCGAAGATGCAAAGGCGCGCAGAAGGGCCGAGTTGGATGCCAGAATTGCAGCCGCTGTCAAGGCCGGCAAGAAACGTCCCCGTAGAAAAAAGGGCGACGAGATCGTGAGCATGCTGCAGGCGTAGACCTATCTGGAGGTTGAGGGATGTCGATCACTGATAGCGCTGACCATGTCCTGCGTACACCCGCACGCCACCAGGATCTTGACAAGGAGAATGATGAAGAAATTCAGGAGCTTCTAAAGAGCATGGAGCGCGCAGCAGATGACGATTTTGACGCAAACAAGGAGAGAAGACTTGCCACGGCCAAATTGCGCATGTTGCCTTCGGTGGTCGAAGTGATGCAAAAGTGAGTGTGCATGTCGTTAGTGCGGGGACATCGAGGGCCTATTGCTCACGACGGCGTCGCTCCGCTGATGGCCTATTCATTCAGGCACAGCCTACAACAATCGATGATGGATAACAATTTTCTGTCGGGCGTTCGACGCTGGCTAGAACCATTAGGAGACAGGAGCCTACCCTCATTGACCATCCAAAACGCCTTGTTTCCCCTGCTCGAAAAGTTGGAGATTGATACCATGACGCTAAAGCAGAGCGGACTAGGCAAGATTGTGCTCTTTTACACCAAGTGTGGACGTGTCAGCTTGGACATTAAGCGAATCGCGAACAAGCTGATAGGTGAGGTCTGCGATCTGCTGCGCTCACTCGGTCCTCGAGCGACTGCTGACGCGTCACACTTGTGGGTGCTGTCTTGATCAACAGAGAGTTGGACCAGACCCATACTCAAGAGGGACGCTTCCGAGCGCGCTCAGAAGGCCGCCATGGCAGAGCGCGCAAAGAAGATGCGCGAAGCTGAAAAGGATCGCAGGAGAGAGTTGGGAGAGATGGTGGATGATGATGAAGAGGCGGAGGAGTTGGCAGCTGCTGGTGGTGATGGTGGCGAACACGGCAAGGACGCCGCGCAGATCAAGTGAGTAGAGACAAAGGGGGGTGGATCATCATCTTCGGCGTTTGCTTTGGCCACTTATCGAGATTGAAGCAAGGTGACATGGCTTTCGCGCCGCCACGCCGCTCGCTATACATTTCGGCTTTTGACTACGTGCGATCAATGGCATGATTGCTTTTGCTGACCTCCCCCGCCTCCTTTTGCACTATTCTCTGCCCCGCGCGCGTTCCACTTCAGACTCAACCGATTCAAGAGGCGCTTGAGAGAGGGCAAAAAGTAAGAGGCAGAAGGCAATCTGTGCTCGGCCCTCTCCACCTACTTTGGGTGCGTGTGGTCTTTCATCAAGTGTTGATGTAGGCCCAGCATCACACTCTTCCAACGCAACGCAGAGTACGGCTTGAGGCTACACATGAGGCAGTACCGTACATGAGCTTCCCGGCCACCTGTAGATGACTCTAGCTTCCCGCACCGCACCGCACCGCACCGCCTCATACCGTTCGACCCAAACTTGTTCTCTGGCGACTCTCGCTGCTTCGATGAACGCAAGACTCTAGTCAGAACGAGCTTTCGAGTCATGTCCTGTGAGACCGCGATGGTGTTGTTCAACAGCTACATAGCTCCGGCAACACTCAAGACTTGCATTCAAGATTGTGACTGCGACTTGTGACTGGCCTGGGCGATGGGCGCGCTTAAGGTAGACACTCAAAACTTGCAATCACGAATCTTGAGACTTGAGTTGGAGGCACGAGTGAGAGGCATATCTGCACGGCAGCTGAATACCGAATACCGAATACGGAATGAATCGTGACACAAATGCATCATATATCGTACCGCACCCGCGCACCGGCCGTGCGGCGCGGCCAGCAGCAGGCAGAGGATTGCGCACGGTCGCCGGCGGGACGCGATCCATGGCAGCATACGACGCACGCGTTTCTTCTGCACCGAACAGCTACGCTTAGGCGCCGATTCGTGAAATTCTTGAGCTCTGGCCATCATCTCGATCAACGCACGCGACGCGCAAGCTTGAATCGCCCTACACTCCTCACCCTGTCCTTCTAATCACGCAGCTGGCATCCATCAGGCCCACTCTAGTTGAGGAGAGGCGTTCACTGCAGACGTGGCCAGCATCGCATCACGCATCAACCTTGGAGTCAGCACATTACAGCATACACCTGCTCTTTCCAGCATCATCTCCCCAGCATGGATGACCCTACAGCGTCGACGCCATTGATGGTCTCCGTCGCTCCCTCCTCCTCCTCCTTCTTTGCAGGAGAACACTTTTCCTGCGTCATCACCTTTACAAACACCAGAGTGCCATTACCTTCTACTCAACCACTCCCTTCCACGTCGACATTCGGCAACGGCAATGGCAGCCACTCGAGCTTGTCAGATGCAGCATGCATCGCGGCTGCTCAGAGGCGCGTCTTCTCCTCCGCGCCTGCACTGGGAAGATCCTCGCACACCAAGAGCCAGAGCGTGGATGTGAGGACTTTTGCACGGCAGTTGCAACTGGAAGGCGCGGATGAGGGAGCAAGGGATGAAGGCTACTACAAGGCTAAAAGGCTGGCAGCCGAGTCTGTCGATAGCTTCGAATCGCAACAGAATGCCAGCGTGCTGGACAGTTCCAGTATTCCATCCAGGAGAAGGCTCATTGGTCGAGATAAGCATGCTGCTGCTCATGGGCATGCCGCAAACACCTTCTCAGCTCAACTTTCCACTCCAACATCCGCCCCTGCAAGCTCTTCTACAGCAGCTGCTGACCACAAAGGTCACAAACACGCCGCATCCATGTATGCCACGCCCGACCACTCCTCACGGAACAAGAATCAGGCCGGATTGGGTCTGGGACTGCCTGGTCCTTCTCATCGCCCACCTTTCGCATCTCCAGATCCATCAGGCCCAACATCCGCTCGACCCACACTCAATCTCATTCACCCCTCGAGCAGCTCAGTCGGGTCTCCCACACCTGCGCGAATGGCAAGTGGTGCATTCAGGCAGCCTAGTGCACCTGTCCCGCGCACGCACCCTCACGGCAGAAAACAGAGCATAGCAGCTGTTCAAGCAGAAGATCTTTCTGCTGCTTTCGCTCTGGGCGCACCTGGAATGCCTGCCAGCAGTGCTCCCTCTAGCGCTGCTCCTCCAATCACCGAGGAAGAGCCTGCATCTCCATCCTTTTCCAACGAACCCTCGACGCCTAGAGCGATTGGTCATACTTTCTATCAAGCTGGGCAAGGAGCAAACGATACGATGGAGTCTGTGCTCCGGGATGATATCTCTGCGTGGTCCAGGCCGGGTATCGGGCCGGGCGGAAGCGGACAAAGCAGCGGCAACAGTAGCGGTCTGGACATTAGCACGCCCACCTCGTTTTCATCGGCAAGCACGCCGTACGGAGCTCCCAAATCTTCGCCGCTCTTTCCATCTGGTCGTTCGTATGCGCCAGGCACCGTCAGCCTGCTGTGGAGCTTTGCGCAGTTTGGAGGAGAATTCAAGGTGGACGAATCTTTGATCAAGCCGGGAGAGTTTGAGCAGGTGAAAAAGAGGTTGGCGATGGATCGCACGATTGGTGGAGGGCATCTGGCTTCTTCGTTTGGGGGCGCACACGGCACAGGCGGGGGCGGTGGGATCGGCGCCCAGTTGGATGGTGGAGATGAGGATGCGCAGAAAGCTGGGTGGGGCAGTTACCTCTCTTCGGCGCTCTTCTCTAGACCTGCGAGGCGGGCGCATGGGAGGAGCGTTAGCTCCATTGGCGATAGACAGGCAAGGACGTTGCAGAATAGGGCTGTGCCGCTCTTTTCCAGCCCCCCGTCCATTGTTGCGGTAGATCTAGACCTGAAGCCGGGCGAGAGCCGAAGTTGTGAGTGTTGAGCTCTGGTGCGCCTTGAGCATTGGCGCCTGCCTTTGCTGACCCTGCACGTGCTGCTTTGTCCCACGTGCCTATTAGATTCATTCAGGATACCCTTGCCGGCTGATCTTCCGCCTAGCTACACCGGTCGAGCTATCTCCTTCACATACACGCTGACGCTGGGAACGAATCGAGTGGATCATGCTGCTCCTCGATCGGCTGGGTCGAATGGACGTTTTGCACAATCGCAAGGCTCGAAGCAGCAACAGAGGTCCCGTCTGATCAGGATACCGCTACGCATCTACAACCATATCAGCGTCAGTGGAGCTACGCACTTCTTCGACTTGACCAATCCCGTAGTGTATAGGAAAGATGAGTCGGTGGTCAGAGAGGAGCTGGATGACATGTTGGTGACGCCTACCTTGAGGAGTTCACCGGTAGCCAACGGTCCGAGGCAGGATTCGGCAGCGGAGCGCTCCAGAGCCAAGTCGCAAGGCCGAGAGCAAGGTGAGTGCGAAGCTGAGCAGGCGCTGCAGACGATGGACGACGAGCATACATGACGCTCAGCTCATACCTGTTCTCGCCTTACATTCGTCTGCTTCAGCGTTTGGAAAGTCTGAGTTGGAAGAGTATGCTAGGGATCTGCTGCTTTCGACTCGCGCGAACGAGGCCGCTCTGGATGACGAGGATGCGCCTACTGATGTAGAGGCTGCAGCGTCGGCGGCAGCGTCTGCAGCCCGTGACCTCTTGTTCGCGCCCGATCCCACTGCATCGCCTCCAACATCCAAAAAATCGCTGTCGAGGTCTTCGTCTATGAACTTGCCTAGACCTACTTCTCCGCTAGGCAGAAGGGCTAGCGTGGCTGCCTCGGCTGCTGGCGAAGAGGATGATGGACCAAAGACGAGCATGGAAGCTGTTGAACACCTGTCGCGCAACTCGCAGAAAGGTGAGCAATTGTGCAGGAAGCAGTACTGTGGGAGTCAGGAGAAGGGCGCGAGAGGGCGGCATGGGGGGGTGGGCCACTGACTGGCTCATTTCGTTTACGCTTTCGTATATCTGTACAGTGTCCTACGACATTTCGAAAGACGGACAAATTGTGGCCGTCTTGACTCTGATCAAGTCCAAGTATCGCCTGGGAGACACGGTGTCTGGAGTAGTGACGATGAACCGATCGGGCAGCGTGGCTCGAGTGGTGCGAATAGCAGCGACGCTGGAATCGTACGAAGCCATACAATCGGATCTGTCCACCTTGCCGCAGAATAGGGTGGCAAAATTGACCAAAGTTGTGCACTCGGAATGCCACCAGTCTACGTTGGATTCTGGTCAAGCCAGCTTCGCTCTGCCCATCCCTAGCGGTGCTACGCCCGACTTTGTGACGAGTGCGGGTGAGTGCTGGGCTGGACTGGGCCACCTTGCGGAATGCTAAGCATGCGGCAGGATGCGCACAAAAGGCTGACGCTGCTGCTGCTGCCGCCGGGGCCCCCACTTTGCGCGATGGCGCAGTCAAAATCAATTGGACTGTTCGACTTTCCTTTTTAACCTTGGCATGCGTCCGACCTAGCAAAGGAGGACCTAGAGCAGCGCCACCTTGTCACCTGATTCCCGTCGAGTCGGATGGCTACGAGCATTTCCACGCTTCGCTCGTAGCCGTGCCTCACCTATCTGGTCCTTTGCATCCCTCCTTGATGCCGACGTTATCCAAGGAGGGGCAGGAGGAGGAAAAGGAGGAGAGCGCTTCGATGCTCGCGCCTGAAGGAACAAAGTTGGAGGTGGTGGAGTGCGCAGTGCCGCTCAACGTCTTGCCGCACTCTACCAGATTTCAACCTGGCGCTGCTTCGGTCTTTGCTTAAGGAAAGCAGCAAAGGCAAATCACGAATGCCCCCCTCTTTTTCTTTGGATTGTGCATGTATTTTTGTTGCAAACGTGATGTGGGCTTACGTGATGCAGAACACTTTTTTTGCAAAATCGTCATGCCAGGAAGCTATCGTGCGCCCCCCCCC